AAAGAAGCCCCGTCTCTTTCATTGTCTTTTTGTCTTTCTCTCTCTCACTCTCTCTTTCTCTGTCTGCCTCTGTCTCTTTCTCTGTTTCTCTTTCTTTCTGTCTCTTTCTCCCTCTCTATATAGATAATTTATCATCTGATATAATCCATCCATCTCTCTCTCTATCCATTATCTGTCTCTCTCTTTCTTTCTCTCTGTCTGTCTCTCATTGTATCCTGTCTTCCTCTACTGTATATTTATCATCCAGTATTTATTTAGAAAATTTATAGTGCTACCTACTCCCACATGCTGACTCAGGGAGACTTATAGAATATGTCTATCTGTCTACCCATCCATATTTATAAATATACCCATATTTATATTTATATTTCTCTCTCTCTCTCTCTCTGTGCCATCTATCTATCTAGCTATTTTTCTCTAGCTATCTATCTTTCACTATTTTTCCTCCCTCCCTTTTCTTTCATCTAACTCTATCATCTATCTATCTATATCTATCTATGTCTATTTATCTATCTATTTATCTCTCTCTCTCCCTCATCTATTTAGCTGTCTTTTCTTTCTCTCTCTCTCTCTACCATTTTTCTATCTATCTATCTATCTATCTATCTATCTATCTATCTATCTATCTATCTATCTATCTATCTATCTATCTATCTATCTATCTATCTATCTCCTATCTATTTAGCTATCTTTTCCTTTCTTTCACTCTCTGCCATCTATCTAGCTATTTTTCTATATTTAGCTAGCTATCTTTCACTTTCCTTCTTTCCTTCTTCCTTCTTTCCTTCCTTCTTTCTCTATCATCTATATCTATCTATCTATCTATCTATCTATCTATCTATCTATCTATCTATCTATCTATCTATCTATCTATCTATCTATCTATCATCTATCTATCTATCTCTATCACTTGAGACTTTCAAGAAGAGATTGGACTCCTATCTGTCAGAAATGGTGTAGGGTCTCCTGCTTGGGAAGGGGGTTGGACTAGATGACCTACAACTCTGATTATCTGTTATATCTATCTATTTAGCTATCTATTTCTTTTTTTCTTTCTCTCTTTCTTGTCTGTCTGTCTGTCTGTCTGTCTCTACCTACCTACCTATTTATCTATCGTCTACCATATCTCTCTCTCTATTCCCTCTCGCAGTTACTGCTATGGAGCCAGGCCCCAGAGCCCAAAGCCCTTGGGTCTCCCCAGGGATCCTTTGTGGCCCCGACTTAAAATCCAAGGATTGTTCCTTTCCTCCCGCAGGTGACCTTTGAGGACGTGGCCATCTATTTCTCCCGGGAAGAATGGGAAGAGTTAAGCGAATGGCAACGGGAGCTCTACCAAGCGGTGATGATGGAGAATTACGAGGCGGTTCTGTCCTTGGGTAAGAACGACTTCATTGCTCAGGTCCTGGAGGGAAGAGGGTAAGTGAGTTCCCAGAGTCCTCCTTGGCCCCAGATTTGTGTCACCAACAGTGGATCCTTCGGGGGGGAAAGCTTCAAGCAGCAAGAACTGTGCCAACTCCTAAAATATCTCTCTGGTCTCTTTAGAGCTGCCAACAGAAAGGGAGGGGGCAGCAGTGTGGCAGCTTGCAAACTGAAAGTGCATTCCATAAATATTTTCAAAGATAGTAACTAGGTGACTGAAGTTTTCAACATTCTAATTGGAGAATATGATTGATGACGCTTGGCTACAAATGTGTCTCGTTGGAGAATATGATTTATGACACACCCAGGGGGTGGGGAAAACCAGGGTCAAAGGTGACAAAGAATTATGGTATCTCAGAGTCAGCTATACCCAGGCAGCACCGGACATATTAACTCCCAATAAATCCTTTTGAAGTTTGGAAGTATGATTCGAGACTCATGGCTTAAATGGAGGTAACTGCTGGAATCCTGACCAACTGAAGGCCGCAGACCTTCTCCCGTTGGTTGGAGTGTCTTCAAGGGTGGAGCTACCATTGCCCTAGCCAAGGCCATGGTGAAGATCTCCACGGCCTCCTCGGAAAGGTTGGGCTGCTACCGGTTCTCCCCAGTTCGGCCGAACCCTTAGCTAACCAGGAGCTCATTTTATGGCTGGTTCGACGAACCGACAGTTCTGAGGACTGGCTGGCCCTGCCCACCCCCTCCCTTCCTCCCCCCCTCCCAGGAATCCCCACACGGCCCATTTTGGATCCCTGATAAATGCAGGGTGCACATGGCGGCTCAGGGAGGGAGAAAAACGGGCCTCCGGGAAGTTCGAGAAGGCCAGAAATAGGCCCGTTTCCAACCTCTGGAGGGACTCAGGAGCCCAGGGAGGCTGTTTCTGCCCTCCTGGAGGCCCAAGGAAATCCCCCCCCAGCGTGGTGCAGGAGGCGGACTAGGCTACGCCCACCCAGCAACCGGGCAGAGGACCAGTTGCTAAAACTTTTTAAGCCCACCCCTTTTCCTCGGTACCAGAGAGACGGAAGCTACAAGTCTCCCAGCTGGAGAGCATCTCGTTGACAGACCCCCTCCGTCTCTGAGGAGAGACCCACTGGGGTCCTAGTGAGATCGAGCCTGTTTTCCAAAGGCCACCCCAGGGGTGGACGATGCGATTGGTAGTCCCAACCGCTACTGAAATGAAGGGTTGGGTTAAGAGACTTCGAGAATGTGACCGGTTTGGCCCGGTTTGTAGAAAGCGGTAGTAAAAAAAAAAAAAAAAGCAAGCTCCGCGGAGCAGCTGAGAGGAGAAAGAAGAGAAAAAGCGCAGGATCAGCCCTCGCAGCCACCCCGGCGCTTTCCTCTCCTTTATCCTGTCAGCTGATTGGCCCGGCAGACCCTCAGCGGGTGTTTGGAAAGCTGCCTGCACACACGTGAAGTCCACGATCACCGAACCCCCACAGTCCTCCTCCTCCTCTCCGCCAACTTCATTCCCTTCTAGCACTGATGACGTTACTAAGTTTGGTCATGAAACAACTGCAAGGAAACCACCAAGCTCAGAGAGCCCCAAGGACCCCCTCCGTTATTCTTCCCAGTAGGACAGGATGCAAGAGGTCCTCACCTTCTTCTGGGGGAGGTTCTAGAAGAGGGTCTTCTCCACGGCCTCCATATGTCCATATCATCCAATATCTTTCTGGTCACCACAAAACACAAAATTCCTCTTCTCTGAACCGGTCCAAGTTCCTCGGGTTCTTTCTGGAAGAGCAGAATGCCAAGAACCTCATCCAACCAAGTGATCCCTTCTCAAGATTTTGGAAAGTCAGTGGCAGTAGTCCTCGGTCTATGGCCACAACTGAGCCCAAATGTTACATGGCTCAGCGAGAAATTTCTTCAGTGAGCTTTGTCCTGTTTTAGGGCTCGTCCCTGCAGTTGTTGAGTCCCACGGCCGTTTAGCAAGTCTGGCGTCGCCCTTAACTCTGCTCGTCGGAAGGTTGGGGCTCACGTGACCCCATGACACGGCGACGGTCACAAATGTGAATTGGTTGTCAAGCATACAATTATAAATCACATGACCCTGGGAGGTGTGCAACGGTCATAAGTGTGAAAAGAAGTCATAAGTCACTTTTTTCAGTGCTGTTGTACCTTTGAATGATCAGTAAATGAACTGATGTAAGTCAAGAACTTATAAGAAAATTCAAAATTTATCGACAAGGGACTTCCAATTTCCAGTTCACCAAAGGGGAAACTTTACTGTTGGCATTGTTCCTTTCCACAAAATCTCCCAGTTTGAGTGTCTTTGGAGATTCTCCGATATCGAGGTCATGGTTCTCCCAAAGATGCTTTCTCAAGAGGCAAACTGGATGTTCTTGAAGGTTTTCTTTCCATGAAGAGGTTTCGCTTCTCATCCAAGAAGCTTCTTCAGTTCTGATGGAAGGACTGTTACAGTAACTGTTACTCAGAAGGGAGGAAGCTTCTCGGATGAGAAGCAAAACCTCTTCAAGGAAAAAAAACCTGAAAAGGTTTTGCTTCTCATCCAGAGAAGTTTCCTCCCTTCTGAGTAATAGTTCAATCCTTCTGTCAGAACTGAAGGAAGCTTCTCGGATGAAAAGCGAAACCTCTTCAAGGAACCCCCCCCCCCCAATGTCTGACTGGATGGTTGGGAATGGAAGGATTTCTATTCCTTGAAGAAAGCTGGTCATCTGCATTCTTTTAGAGACCTTTTGAGGCCACTTGGACGTTTGTCGATGTCTTCAGGGGTCACCTGAGTAGTGCAAGTGGGTGTGGAGCCTTGTTGGAAAATCTCATTGTACACATGTTGTACTCTGACAATAAAGATAATTAGAATAGAACTGCATTTTGTACTATTTGTGCTACTTTGCACTACTCAGGTGATCCCGAGGACACAGACAAACACAGGCGAACCCCCAACCCCCAGCGGCCTCAATGGCTATCTAAAAAGAATGCAAATGAACACCTGTCAGCAAGGAGTATCAATCCTTCCATTCCCCACCATCCAATAAGACCTTGGGTTTTTTTCCCCCTTGAAGAGTTTTCCCTTCTCATCCCAGAAGCTTCTTCACTTCTGACTGAAGAACTGAACTGTTAGTCAGAATGGAGGAAGCTTCTCGGATGAGAAGCAAAACCTCTTCAACCAAAAAAAAAATGAAGAAAGGCCAGTGGCCTCTTGGAAAAAAAAGCACATTTGGAACTCCCAGTTTGAGTCCAGAGAGAGACTGGTCAACCCTGGGGAGGGGAGCTTCCCCTCTCTCTGGGCTCTGGGTTGAGACCCCTTTGCTTTTTCTTTGCTTCTGACAGGACCCCTGCCCGTCAAGCCGCGGATTATCAACCAAATTGAACAGAAGGAGCCCGTTGTCACTGGAGAATTGTGGAAGGCATGCAAATGGACAGATGCCCAAAGCCAGTGGCAAGGTAAGAATTTCTTTCTTTCTTTCTTTCTTTCTTTCTTTCTTTCTTTCTTTCTTT